GTGTCTCATAGAGTGGCGTCTCGTTCAAGACTACCGTCGGACCCGTTGGAATAATTTGGAATTTCTTACAATTCTTCACCACCTCCCAACAATGGGTATGGTTGAAGCTTTTTTTTCCTTGCCCAGTAGCACCAAAAAACATTTGTGCTTGTATAGTCTATAAAAAAAAATAGGAATGCAAGAAACTTTAAAAATTATTGGCAATTCAACAAGTATAAAAAAATAATAATGGAAATACAAGAAACCTTAACAATTTATTAGAAATGAAAAACAAAATTTAAATATTGCAACAAACATTCATATTAATATTGGAAATACAAGAAATAGGAATGCAAGAAACTTTAAAAATTATTGGCAATTCAACAAGTATAAAAAAATAATAATGGAAATACAAGAAACCTTAACAATTTATTAGAAATGAAAAACAAAATTTAAATATTGCAACAAACATTCATATTAATATTGGAAATACAAGAAATATTAACAAAATATATAAATTGCAAGAAATATTTAAATTAACTTTAATATGACATAGAAATTAATAAAACAAAAATTACAAATAATTTACCTCACTGGTAAGGTTTTCCCCGCTTCTATGGTTGTCCATCGCCTTTGCCAAGGCATCCCTCCATTTCGCCAACTCTTTGTTAAGAATTTTCCACCTACTAGATAGTGCTTGATCTGTACGGGTCGTACCAATTACCCTTTCACAAAAATCCTGATGAATTTTTTTCCACATATGACAGAATTTCATCTCATTGCCCGATACGGGACAATGACTAATGTGGAGCCAAGACTCACACAAGCTAACATCTTCCATGACACTCCATGCCCCTCCGGTTTCACTAGAAGAACCCATAAATTTTTCTAGAAAAATTCAACTTGAAAGTGAAAAAAATTTAGACTAGAAAGTGAATAATGGTAGAATGAGAAGAAAATGTATGAAGAGGTGGTGTTAAAAGTGAAGAGTATTTGTTGGTATTTATAGGAAAAAACATCAGTATTTTTTTGGGTATTTTTTCAAATTTTTTCCGATTTTTTTTTCATTTTTTTTCATTATTTTTTGGCCAGATTGAACAGCTGCCGTTGGATTGCTGGAAGAACTTCATCGGAGCGCCAGCGCATCGCCACGTGGAAGAGAGCCGTTGGGTGCAACTTCCGATTTTTTTTTCATTTTTTTATTCGCGAAAAATGAGAAGCGTTGGATTTTGAACAACTTTGATCGGACAGCTTCAGTGCGCGCCACGTGGAATAGATCCGTTGGCGGGGCACTGTAGCGGGCGCGTCAAATTTTTTTAATGTTGGCGCGTGCGTTGCACGCGCCAACGTTAAAAAAATTTAAACAGCTGCGCTGATGTCGTCGTGACGTCAGCGCGCTGACGTAGGCCCAAAACTCGTTTTGCTCCTCGGGCTGGACCTGCCCGAGGGCTAGCCCATGCAATTTTTTTTTCTGGGGCCCACACCTTGCCCTGGCAGCTTTGGCTTGCTGGAAACATGATTTTCCCCCAGCCCCTCCCCAGCCCTCCCCCCAGCCTGCTTGCTGGAAATGCTCTAAGGCAAGGGCTACCACTATTCACGTGAATAGTAATAGCCTTGCCATTTGTAGTTCCACCCCAAAAGGCTAAGGCTAAGGCAATTACTATTCACTTAAATTTATTTTTTATTTTTTATACTTAAACCATTGATTTTGATAAGCTTTTCGGATAAAATTTTCAATTCCCAAGTGTTAATATTTATCGTAAAATTCTCACCTAAAAATTAAGATAACATTTTCGGATAAAATTTTGAAATTAAATTTGGTGTGGAAAGTGAATAATATTGGTAGGTATGTATAGAAAAAATTTCCAGAAATTTTTTATATTTTTTTTATATTTTTTAAATATTTTTCTTCAATTTTTTGTAGCCAAAAATTGGACAACCGTTGGATTGTGCAAGATTTTTTGATCGGAGGCTCCAGGAGAAGCCACGTGGCTTGTAACCATTAGGCAATGTGGGCTAGTAGGTCCAACAATAAAAAAAATTTGAAAATCAGCTGCTGACGTCAGCAGCCCGCAGGCAACAGCCCAGTCAATTTCTGCCTGTGGGCTTGTCCGGGCTTGTGGGTCACATGCCTTGCCTTGCTCGAGCTGGATTTTCTGCGCTAAAGTATGAAACTTGGCTTGGGGGGGCCTGTTGCCGGGGCAAAGCCCTAGCGCTAGAGATGCTCTTAGAGAGAGAGAGAGAGAGAGAGGTGACAATAAAATAACTCTTATGGGTGGCAAACCGATGTTAATGAATTGTTTTTTATGTTGAGTAGTAGTCAGGTAATCCGACAAGTTTAGTAATTCTAATTGTGTCATGTTCAAGTTACTAACATATATTGATGATCAAACAAAAAGTTTACTAACATAAATTGTGAGCTTAAAAACTTAAACTAAGTCACCTCTAATTATAAATCAAACAAATAATTTATGTATTATGAACTAATTTATAGTCCAACAATATTTCTTTTCTCAATATTAAAAGAAGTCTCATGTTTAAATCCTATCTCCGGTTGATTGGTTAAAGAATCTCTTATACATCAATTAATTGTATAGTAAATATATGCTTGATCTTTGATGCTAACAAAATCTTGACAGAGTATACAAAGATTCTTGTAAAACATACTAAGAAATGGGAAAACTAGTCATTTTTCAATTTGGACCAATTTGAAGGCCCACTTTGAAAACCAATTCCAAATTCTAAGCTTGAAATTGTCAGAATGATAATAATACCCATTGGGTTGGTCAATTTCATTTTCGGACTTAAAAATTTGGGCCTTTCAACTAAATAAGCCAGGTTGCTTTTGGGTACCCAAAAAATCTTGTTATTTCTTCCGAGTCATTCTATAGCGAGAACATTGTATATGGCTCTTAGTTGAGATCCTATTTTTTAATTGTTGAATCAGGTTAACCAATTTGATTCAACAACTAACTAATTTAATCCAACGATTAAAAGATAAAACCTCACATAAGAAACATATATAAGTTCCTCACTATAGAATTCTTGCATCCCTTTGAACCAGAGCTTTGCAGTTTGTTGGGGAACTGCTACACCTTTCACACACCACTCATTCATGGTGTGTTGAATTAGAAAACAAAACCTGTGGTAGGTGAGGGCCTATTGACGACAAAACCAGCAACCAGTTTGAAATTATTTTTTTGCTTTTTTCTTTTTCTTAAAAAAATAAATGAAAATAAAAACAAATTTGATTAAGGTCAAGTCAAGAAAGCCCAGCGCTCAACTAGAATCAGAACCATCCTAATTGTCCAAATGCCCTGAATTTCTGCTCTCCATCTCAACCTCCCACCTTCCGTTTAGCAGAGTGCGTGGATCGTACTCTCACATCACCAATTCAACATCTTTGTTAATTTCTTGTAAACATACCTAATTAATTACATGGTTTCTTCTTGGAAAACCATGATAATTTGATCTGCCATAGAACCGGTTACTAATTAATTACATTGTAAAACGCATACATGTATGTAGTACATATATACAACGTCAATCTTAAATTTATGTTGAAAGATTTTACTAAATACGACTCTCAATCTACATTAATGAATTCTAGAACTTAGTATCTCTCGAATTATTAATCATGTAAAACAAATCGAAATAAATAAAACCCGAATTATCTTAGAAAGTTCTAATAGTGTATATTTGCTTAATTAACGGGGGTGCCTTCTTATTAGAGCAAAGTAAGCCTACAAATTAGGGAGTACTTGATCAATTTTATAATGGCTGCAGCGTGTACTACACGAGCTTAATTAGTGGGTAGGTTTGCATTTTCTTAATACTTCGAGAAATTGGGACATGGAAAAGCAGAAAGTCAAAAAAGTCACTCCCTTCGTAGAAAAACCCCCGAAAGCATTAGATGATTGCGGAAAAGAAAAAACTAATCAATCAAAACTAATGAGAGAAAAATTTAGGATAGAAGAATTGGCACGTTAGACAAAGACAGACAAAGCTTAAATAAAGAATGTAAGAAAGAAACTATGAGCACACCAAAAAAGGACCTTAAACTTTCCTTGTTTGAAGAGTGAAGTGTTACAAAGACAAAACACTCCCCACGTGTATTCATCTTGACCGTCCATTAAAAGCAACTAAAGTCCTCACAAAAATGGAATATATATATATATCACGTTTACTGATTGCATTGTTGATCACATATTTCACATATTTCACAATGATAAAATTTATTTTTATAGATCGGTTTGTATTTCTACCAAAGACGTGGCACATAAATATAGTATAAGAATTATTTTTATTTTTGGTCCTACGGATTTTTTTAGTATGGAATATGTCAATTTGATAGTGACACATGTGTGTGCAAGAAAATTGTTTGCCTTTAATCTCATGGTCATATCAATACACCATTCTTTCCTCCCCTTCTCCCAAAAAATATTGAAAAAAATAAATAAATAAATAAACCAATAACCCAAATTATCCTAGCCATCCAAAATTGGCGAAAAAAGTTTTTCATCATAATTGAGATCGGGTGGTTGACATATTAAGATCCCAATTAATTAATAAATATGTCAAGTGCATATATTTTAGGCATAAATACTCTACATATACACAAGTCAAATATTTTGGTCATATGATAAAGGAATGTGATGTGCATGCCATGAATTTTTCAAAAAATATATAAGAAGAGGGGGTAGGCTTGGCAGATACGTTTTAACCATTTCTTTGTAGCTTGGTGGAGAGAAGAAGAGGGAAGGAAAAAAGCCCTTGCATTTCTCATGAACTGTGGAGTCGTGTTGGGTTTCTATTGTTGGGGTTGGGAGTTCTTAACTGCCCTTCTTCTCTTCTCCTCCCCTTCTCATCCTTAATCTTCTTCCTAATTCTTCTTCTTAATCCTTCTTCAATTTTCTTCTTGTTCTTCATCTTGTTCTTCTTCTTGTTCTTCATCTTGTTCTAGCTCTCTCTCTCTCTCTCTCTTAGAAGTAGTTTTGAGTACCAAGATTAGGTATTAATTAATGGAGGGTGTGTGTGACCAGAAGGGGTTGCTGGAATATGTGAGGAAGTCAAGCCCTCCACCTTTCTTGTTGAAGACCTACATGCTGGTGGAGGATCCCTCCACCGACGATGTGATCTCCTGGAACGATGATGGGTCGGCGTTCGTGGTGTGGCAGCCGGCGGAGTTTGCCAGAGATCTCCTCCCAACACTCTTCAAGCATAGTAACTTCTCTAGCTTTGTCAGGCAGCTAAATACTTATGTATGTACAAATTTATTAACCATATATTTTGCATGCTTTTTCTAACCAATATCAAATTCTTGCACTTTGCCATCTCAAATGCATTTTTCCTTGCCATGTATGTTCCATCATCATCATCATGTCCAAAAAAAAAAAGTCTTCATTCCAAGTTGACCGAGTTTCTGAGATTTGATTTCGAGTTAATATGAAAAGGTCCACCGGTCTTGTCTAACCTAACTTAAAATATAATAGTTTTTCGGTGTTTTGATAGACCAACCAAATTAAATTAAATATATATATTTATATATATTTGTGTTGGGCTTGAACTTTAATTGGAGTAGGCTGAGCCACAAAATATAATAAATGAACTGTAGACTCATGAGTATGACAGCGGCCAATGTCCCATAAGAAAACCATAATGTCACACAACCTACTTACGGGCACAGAAGCATTTTTCTTTCATCATTTATTTGGTTGAAAAGTAGTTACGCTTTTGATAATTTCTTCATATATCTTATTCTATGTTCAAGATTATTTTTAACAACTATAGATGGAAGACTCGAATTAGCGCCTCTTTATAGATTATGAAGAGAAATACCATTTAGATTAGTGATTTCAGATGTAGGCTCGTTTAGTGCCTACCTAAGATTGGATTAGATTGGACAGCTTAACGCATGTCAAATGAAGAAATAAAATTGTCCAAGTTGGAGGTAGAAGTAGAGGACTTAATCATGAATAAAACTTATCTCATTCATTTTCCACAAAATGGTAGAATATCAATATCTCATAACGTATCCCTTCTAATCTTCCAAATGAAAAATCATTCACCTCTACCATCATTTCCTCGTTCAACATTTACTTTGAATCTAATGAGTCATCAAATCCTAGACACCAAACGAGAAAATATAATTTTACCCTCCTTCACATATCTCTCTTCTAATATAACTTATCTCTTATATTTCATTTCTCTATCTTTACTTAAAACCAAAACAAAAAATTTACGCTGAACTTTAATAATTTTGCACTTATGTCTAGGGATTTCGGAAAGTTTCAACAAGCAGGTGGGAGTTCTGCAACGACAAGTTCCGAAAGGGTGAAAAGGATCAGCTATGTGACATCCGCAGAAGAAAAGCATGGGCCAGCAAGCAACAGCCAATCAACAACATTGCTCTAAACCAAGCTGCACAAGCAATGCCAAATCAAGACGAGTTTGATGAAGACCAGAGATCAAACTCCTCAACCTCCTCCTCATCTGATTACAGCTCTCTCGTCGACGAAAACAAACGGCTGAAGCAGGAGAACGGGGTTTTAAGCTCAGAGCTCACCAGCATGAAGAGGAAGTGTAAGGAGCTTCTTGACTTGGTGGCCAAGTGTGGAGACTCAGCTGAGAAAGAAGAGGAGGAGAATAGTGAGAGGGTGCCCAAGTTGTTTGGAGTGAGATTGGAAGTGGAGGGAGAGACGGAGAGGAAGAGGAAGAGGAAGAGAGCTGAAATTAGTGAGAGCGCAAGCATTTTACTATCTCAAGCATGCAAATAAATAATCTCTACAAATATACATACTTCAACAAGTGGTATTTATATGAGCTACTTAAAATCAAGTGGCTTAGCTAGAGGAATATTAAGATGTACTTTATTTATATATATGTTTATTATGCATGTAAATTATTATATATAATGCATTTGTCAGAAACAAAGGTCATGATATAACAAGTTTCTCCGATACCGAGAAGTCCAAATATGGCTCAAATAAATATCTTGTATTTTACTAAGGAGTTCATAAGATTTTATTGGTGTATTTTTCTGATTTATTAGTAATTTATTATGATTTTTGGAAGTTAAATCATTGAAAAATAATAATAAATTAAAGGCATTATAGAGACATTCTAGAGGCATTCTAGACGCACTATAGAGATACTAGGAGTCACTATAGAGTCAGCCTAGCGTCACTATAAAGACAGTCTAGAGGCAACTATAGAGACGCTATAGTTTCGCTATAGATGCATTATAGAGGCACTGCAGAGACACGTGGCAATTAAAGAATACTAATAAATTGAAGAGAAAGACATGTGATAGCAGCCGAAGGGTGCACCGTCAGTAATTTAGACAGGTGTCACTCTCTAGTAGAGCCATGTGTATTAAAATTTCATTTGTGTGTGTTAACCTTTAAAAATTCACAAATAATTAATGAAAAAATTAAAAAAAAACTCTCCCAAAAATTATACAAAAATGAAACTTTAATGTCACGTGGCAATCAGTGGCAGACCTATAGAGGTGCAAGGAGGTGCAGATGCACCTCCCCTCACAGAAAATGAGTTAGAAATGTAGGAATTTGCCCCTTTGTTCATGCCCACCAAGTGTTCGTTTAAAAGCCTCAACGAGGCTGTTTTGTTGCTGCTGTGTGAGACCCTGAATATTTATCTTAGATTGTTGAGCTCAATCTCACAATCATGTAGAAGAAAACGGTTCGTCAATTGGACCTCCACAACCGAAGTTATAGAGTTTAGAAGATTTTGAAATTTTTTCACTTAAGTTGCAGACACAACCGGACAAAGAAGAAGATGACTCGTGTTTGTAGTTAGAATCCTTTGCTTCTCAACTTGCATTGCTTTATAATATGGTCCACTATTAAGGTGTCATGTGTCAAATTTTAACTAGATCAACTTTAGAAATTCATTAAAAATTCATATGTGCTCCAAAAAATTCACCGAAAAATACCCCGAACTCATAATCCCATGTATTTTTATCTCGTGACCTCAAAATCACATTTACTTTGGGTTAGATTAATTGGTATTGTTTTTGGTTAGATTAATGGATGATTTCATATGAATTTTGATAGACTAAGAGCATCTCCAACCGATATGTTAAAAGTGCCACATAGACATTTAACGGTTATAAATAACATCTCACATCATTCCAACCGAATTGTCAAAGCTGATGTGGAATGAAGGTTGGAGGTTCAACTGTTATTTTTGACATCCCAAAAGCAAGATGTCAAATAAATATTTTATTATTTTTAAAGATAGATGGCTGTGACTTTCATTTATAATTTTACTTTTTATATTTTTTTTCTTCTTTATCTTTAATGATTTGACTGTTACAATAATTATTTATTTGACATATCGGATGGAGTGTAAAACTGTTTAAATATCAAATTGCCACATCAGCCATCAAATTTAAATTTGATGTTTGGTATTTGACATCTCCCTTGGAGATGCTCTAATTGTGTAATTGACATGCATTTTGTTCACATGTGATATGAATTTTGGTAAATAATTGTGTAACATGAATTTTGTGCATATTAATTGATATACAAAATAGACTATAGTCAATTAGTCTTAGATGTAAAACTCTTATTTGTTTTAATTATGAATAACATTAGTATTGTTTAAATTGAAAGACTATATGGTTATTATTTTTTTATTTTTTTTGATCTTTTAGCCTTTTAAAACATTGCCCTTTTCTTGAAAAATTCCTAGATCCGCCACTAGTATCTGCCACTAGTGGCGATACCAAAGGATGACACTCGTCTGAATTACTGACAGTGCACCCTTTTAGTAGCTGCCACATGTCATTCTCAATGCTTTAACTTTCACGTGTCTCTGTAGTTACTATATAATGCCTTTCGAGTGTCTCTATAGTGCCTTTGCAATGAAAACACATAAAAATAAAATTTAATGACACGTGGAATCACGAAGAGTGAAACCCTTCTGAAGCACTAACAACGCACTGTTCAGCTGCTTCCACATGTCATTCTCTTCAATTTATTACTATCTTTCAATGCTTTAACCTTCAAAAATCATAATAAATTCATAACCTCTTGATTATAGGGCATTAACTAGTGTTTTGGTTTGTTTAGAAACAAATTCGAGTTTTTGTTGTCACGTTGAACATTTATTAGTCCTAGAAAAAAAAACTTATTAGTCAAAATAAGATTTTCGTAGGTTTAAAGCAAAGATAATGCCACAAAGAGTTTGTAGGAGTTTTCGGTGTATTTGTATGATTTTTAATGTATTTATTATGAATTTTAGAAGGTAAATTATAGAAAATTAATATTACTGACACGTGGGGCACAATAGAAGCACTATCGAGGCACTATAGATGTACTATAGTGACACTCTAGATGCACTATAGAGACATTATAGATTAAAGGGTTTTTAACTATAGATGTCCTTGAATTTTGCCTCGAGTTGCAATTGGGTCCCCGAACATTTTTTTGAGGCAATTACATCCATTTACTCTACAAATAGTTCCAATTGGGTCATACTGTCTAACTTTGTCAATTTGTTCATCAAAATGAGGTGGTAAAATGACATGACCCGCCTCGAATTTTCTCAAAATCCGTGAAGAATCCTGTAATATTTCCGACATCGATCTTATGCCGGGCCCACTTACTAACCAAAACGTCTTCTCCAAATCAAAGGAGAAGTAGTTCGAGACATTCTGCCGAAATTTCGGCAAAGTCTCTCCTGAAAAACCGACATTTCCCAAATTTTTCAACATGTTAAAACACAATTTAAGATTTCCAAACTTCAGCATGCACAATGTAAAAGCACACAGTTCACAGAATAGGCCTTTGGCCTTAAATCCAACCCTATGGGCGATAACAGAGCAATTCTAAGCAAGACTCCAGTTTACAACCGAAATGAAGTTCAACGAAAATTTAACAAATAGAAATGCCCTATAGAAGTTTAGGGTGCCCACCGTTTGGAAAAGATATTAAAGCATGCAGTCAAACCATTTGTGTACAATCACAAGCAATTCTAAAGACTCAAACCAGGATCAACCATCCATCCAACTCATCATGACCACAAACACATTTTAACTGCAACTATTTAGTAAAACTGAAATATAACCAAGCATTTGATCTCATCTCGACTGGGCTCCAAGCTCCCCGACATTTTCAAACCAAACTCAACAAAAGTAACAGTTTAAGTAGAGGCTGCACCTAAGTGAAACCCCAAGCCACCTACGTACTCCTTGGTGATGGATCAAGCCACACGTTGTTCTTTCATCAACAGTCACAATTAAGATAATATTCAATTGTTTAAAGTAATGCCAACGATTTAATTTAGATTCATTACAGCATCGAATCCCACAAGGCATATAACTAAATATTTTAAAAAGAACTCCTTTCTTTTCTTGACTCAACTCAAAACCATTTCCCTGTAGAAACTCACAAGTATTATGCATAACTCTTTTAAAACTAACCATCTACTCTGAGACTCAAGTTACTTTTCCAAAGTCATTTCTTTCCTGCAACCATACCCCATCTAAGGCGTATGTTGCAAAACAACACTTTCCATACATCAAAACTAGGCTCGTGAAGCACCAGTTCAAGAATCTCAATCGAAAACGGATCCACATATATATATTTAATATGTATGTAATATATATATATACCAATATATTTACCTCACACCATCATCATGTACTAGGGGAAGACAATCCAATCAAGGGATTGCTTGACTAGACCACATAGAGGAATCCTCAACAACCATGTGGCCAAGGACAAGCTGTCCATCTAGCGGACTGGGCTAACCAGCACGCACAATAGAATCCTCAATACTCGTGTGCCTATGACAAGTCCTATGCGCACAGACTACCCAACTATCCATTTCCATGTATCCAAGTATCCAAGTATCCATGTCCACTATTTCCAAGTATTAGTATCCAAGGGGAGGTACATATAATAGTACACATCATGCACTGGGAAAACAATCCAACATGGGGATCGTTTGGCTGAACCACATGGAGGAATCCTCAACAACCATGTGGCCAGGGACGAGCCGTCCAACCGGGGAACTGAGTTCACTAGCACGTACAGCAAAATCCTCAATACTCGTAAGCCTGTGACAAGTCCTATGCGCGTAGACTACCCGGCTAAGGGTGTACGGTAACACCCCGTCAAGGGTGCCCGGGTTCCGACATATCCAAACCATATCCTCAATTTCCAAGTATCCATAAATTCCAATATCAGTATCCAGGGGGGGAAAAAGGGGGGGAGGGGGGGTGGTTACATGAGATGGCATGTCATCGCCAAGATCTACTTTCATAAACTAATATATAATAAAGATAATACTCTCAAAACCCAATTTCCAAAACAAATCGTTTCCATTTAACAAAAATATATATAATAAAATAATACCCATTCTTCCTTTTTTAAAACCATATTAAGAAAAACATCGAAACTAAATAAGCCCATTCGATTTAATTAATATTCAAATTACTATTCATATATTTAGAAAATATACAACCTCTGAAAATCCCACAACACTAGATAATAAAATGGAAACTCCCTCTTTAAATTTCACAAAACCATAGCCAATCAATATATACATACTACTTCCGACATTCTCAAAGTTATTGCAATTCAAAGTCCGATAACCACATAAAATAATACACCAAAACCAAAATCCATAACTTCAACATCTGTTCTCAACTCAATTTCCACATACAGATAACATACCGCTCAGCAAACCAGAATTCATAACCCTTATTATTCACTTTCCAAGACACCCTTTTTAAAACCCGCATCGATATCCAATGTGCCCACAACCCAAACACATGGACATATATTCAAATGTAAACATATAATTGACATCTAATTAGATCCTTACTAACCCCAAACCCCTCTATCAAGCCATGAGTGAATTATAATATCAATCATTAGAGCAAAACGATAACAATAATAATAGTAACACTAATAATAATAATCATAATAACAATAAATAAACGGAAAATCTCGTGCCACATAGTAAAGGCCAAAATCGAATCGATAGCCCACTTTTATAACCTTGTTAGCCAAAATACCCATTTCCAAACAAATCAATTTCTCACCAATATCACTACTACACCCAATATCACAATGTTAAAACCAATTCAAGTTTTCAACAATACACTTAAACCCATAATTTCTAGAACTTAAAGTGTACCCACAATCTTGGAAAAGTCCTAAAGCCATTCTAGTACCTTTACAAAGGATGAGACGGTCTCAAAAGACCCGGGGTCAACCATTGGTCAACCTTCTTGTTTTTGGTCATTCTGGCCCACTGGACCCACGACCTCCGATTTCCGATCCGAAAGTTCCTATAGGTTCAACAAGATTTATTATACATGTCCTACAAGTTTGGTCCGAATCGAATGGTCGGATTGCTCGTGATCGCACGATCGGATGATTACTATTTCACTTAATCTTTAAGTCATTGAATCGAAGCATCCGGGGCTCCAATTCCCGATCTGCAAATTCCTACACGATCCTAGAGGTGCCTAGATCAACATATATGAAAATGGAGTCGATCCAACAGTCCGAACATATCGAACCCAAATAACACCTAACATGCATCATCCGATCGACAATCAAACGATAACCAAATTCAAATCCGAGCAATACTGTCGTGCTCGGGTGGACATGGGGATCATTTTAGGACCAAAAAGGTCACCCAAACAGTGCCCACGAGCTGCCACATGCACCGACAACGCGTGGGTGCCCAGAGTAATTCCGGCGAGCGAAAAATCTCCAAACCGCCAGTCAAGACATATACAAACATGATCAGGACAATGATTGGAGCAAAAAGTGACCAGAACTTGCCGGAATCACGAGCCAAACTTTAAGCGATAATTTGAGCTTCAAAATGCAGAAATTGATCCTCATCAACCCAACCATCAGCTAGAACACATTGAGAGGATGAAAAAGGATACCTGTATTGAAGAAATTGTTGGCCGAAATCGCCGGAACGAAAGGCTAAAGTTTTGGGTCAAAACCAGCGACTTTTCTGCAATTTCCGGCGAAATACAGCGATGGTGGCAGCGACTGAGGGATGGGGCTGGAAGGCGACGTCGTGCTGGTTCTTTTGGTACCGACCTTATATCCGGAGGTGGTTAGGAGCAGCGGTGGCTGGCCAAAAACCAGTCGACTATTCTCACACAGGAGGGAGAGGGTCGCGCACACGAGAGAGGGAGAGAGAGAGAGAGAGAGAGAGAGGGAGAGAGAAATGATGGAAAATCTGATTTTTTTAATAAACCCATTTCGAAATATTTACGATTTTGCCACTATGTTTCTTTTGATCGTAACATTTTCGTTGCAACTTCGATTTGAGTCCACGGGCTCATCTCGACGCGATCTACGTCATGAAGCCATTCATTTCCCCAAAATCCTTCCGGATTAAAAAGTGGCCAAAATACCCCTACCCTTGAGGGCAAAATTGTAATACCATAATTTATAAAATTAATTAAATTAAATGAATACTTAAATTTTGGTCGAGATGTTACATAAAAGCGTCCTTTTGGGTTCTTCATCCATCATTGACCTTAACAACTCCACCTCCATCTTCAGAGCCTTCTCCACCTCCCACCTACATCTTCAAAGCCTTCTCCACCGACCATCTACATCTTCAGAGCCTTCTTCATCCATCATCGACCCCAACTCAAGTTCATCATCCTCTTCAAATACAACCAAGCCTTCTTCAGAAACCCCCAAGCCCAACGTCACCATACAACCACCCTCGTCTCCACTCGAGATCCACCCTATCCTTACTTGAGACCCATCCAAATTCTTTCTCTCTCTCTCTCTCTCTCTCTCTCTCTCTCTCTCTCTCTCTCTCTCTCTTTCTGTGCAAATTCAAAAATTGAAAATAACAAAAAATAATTAAACACTTTGCAACTTGGGAAGATGGGGTTGTGAGTAGGTTCTAGGTTCTGCAAGTTGGGAGATTGGGGGGTGGGTTGTAGGTTGGGTTGGGATCTGGGTTTCGAGGGTGTGGGATAAGGAGGAGGGGGAATGGGTTGTAGTAGAGAGAGAGAGAGAGAGAGAGAGAGAGAGAGAGATTTGATTTTTATTTTTAAGTTTATTTAATTATTTAATTATTTTAATTTAATATTTTTTTTCACTTTTTGTTTTCAATTTTTAAAATTTAAAATATTTTAATTGAGATGGATGGTTTTAGCCCTCAAATTAAAAAATTGACAGAAGGACTCAATTGGAACGAATGAGTGAGTTGGATGACCTAATTGCTTAAAAAAAAGTTCGAGACCCAATTGCAACTTGAGGTAAAGTTCAGGGACCTCTACAGTTAAAAACCCAAGATTAAAAACATTAAAATTTGTAATTATTATATATTAAAAAATACCAAAAAATACACCGAAATATCCTCTACAAACTCGTTGTGATGTTATCTTCGTATGGAAGCAGTATCGAGTTGCTCAAAAAAAAAAAAAAAAAAAAAAAAAAAAAAAAAAAAAAAATCAAATAATTATCGAACCCAATTTCATTGTACACGAACTTGAAGATCATTAACCTTCCTCACTCCCTCAATTAGTACTGTCCAATTTCTCACTAACTTGAGGCACTATAGAGACAATACAAGGGCACGGGAGCAGAGCAAAGACAGAGATCCCCTAGATCACTAGCAAGGAAAATCCTCGAAGGCTATAAGACCTAGACGTGTAATGAATGGCTACAATCCAATCTAAGAAAGATCTCTGAAAACTGTAGAAGTCGATGCCCTAAAGTGATGAACATAAAGCCTTCAAAACATAACAAAATAAGCGTTCATTTGTTTCATTATTTCATTTACCTATTCACTATTTCATTTTCTTCATTAATAAAAAATGCAGCAGCCAAACTGAAAATTAAACAAAATCATCAGCTAGTGCAGCCTTCTCTGCAAATGGTTTGTCTAAGTAGAAACTAGAAAACTGAAAACCAGCATAAATCACTGGCAGAGATTATAACCTAAAACTCAATATAAAAAAATAATAATTAAAAAAAAAAATCAAAGCCTAAATAACAAAACTAATTATGCCGTGGATACAAAGCAAAAAGAAAACCGAGTACAGAAACTTACCTCAGGTACTCCCTTTCTCCTTAGATGATTCGTTTCCAAGCTACAATTAAATCGGTTTTCCCTAACTTACATTAACAATCCCGGGTTTCAGTACCCCCTTTCTTCAGAAACCACACATTTTTACATGAATCCAATGCTTAACTTTTACTGATTGTGGACCTTTTATTTAAACCAATAACATTACAGTCCTTATGGAGAAGGTGTACAGAACTGCCAACACAATAAAGCTCTAACTATCATACAACAAAAAACTAAACAGCTCTCTTAGAGTCGCCGGTCATGACATTAACTATCCAAACAACAAGTGTGATAGTGTACAAAACTGCACCAGTGATGGCCTTGCAAAGAAAATGAGAAAAAGAAAAGTAAGAAACTTGACAGCATTAGAGAACTTTATATTGCTCAAAGAAAGACTCTCCATGAGTAATCTGTTGAAATTCATTTAATACCTCTAGGTCTTTGTAATAGAAATTACTTGCTGCAGTTTTTTTTTTCTTTTTTCTTTCTCCCAAGCTCATATGAGTGCAAAAGATTTCATTTTTATATGTCACTTTGTAAACCATTGACTGGATTTGGTAGAAACTGAGAAACTTAGAGCCCGTTTGATAACCATTTCAATTTTGGTTTTTAGTTTTCATTTTTTGTGCTAGAGTATAGAGGAGAATGAGAGTGAGAATGGGAGTAAAGATGAGATTGAGAGAGAGAGGATGAGAAGGGATGACTGGGAGGAGTGACAAAAGTGAAAACAAAAACTTGAAAGTGAAAACAATTTCAAATAGATTTCAGTTTTTAATTTTTGTTTTCACTTTTGTTACTCTTCTCTCCCATCCTCCCCTCTCATCTTCCTTCTTAATCCCATCTTAGTATCACTTCCATTCTCCCTCTTTTTCCTCTATACTCTAGCACAAAAAATGAAAACTAAAAACTAAAATTGAAATGGTTATCAAACTGGCCCTTCGTAATCTAAGGCATTCACAATTTTCACTGAATAGCTAAGCACAGGAAAGAAGAAACAAAATTCCATCATAGTTTCTACAATAAAATGTTCAACATTATGATTGCACATTTAGAAACTATATTGAGTGGCAAGAAAATCTCTGATCTATTAAAGGTAGGCCATTCATTATCTGGAATACAATTGGTATAAACATAGAATCAGCTTTAAGTTAACTGAAATTGAGATACAACGAGATAATTTTGTTCTGTTTTTTTTGTTTTTTTTGTTTGTGTTTGTTCTTTGAGTCAAGCCTAGTATCTAACTTACTAAAGAACAACTTAACTAACTCCGAAAACCCTTCAATCAAACTCTACTCAGAAAACTATGACAGTCACTGCTTAAGGCAAGCTATCAATCCATTTCACCATGATCAGTTCCATACTAGAACACCACATTTAGACGCTTATGTTTTCAAGCATCACTTCACCCCTTCAATGTTTTCTCTAAGGATCATCCTACTCAATACACATATCATGCCTGCATATGAAACTCAAAACTCAAACAGCAAGAACGAAATACAGTCAAGAAGCCTAGGGAGAATACCTGTAGCTATCAAGATTCAGTACAGGTCTCATGATGAACCAGTTGAACGAGCATACAGAATTCTGGGTCTCCTCCTCTTATATGTAAACGTATAACAAGCATAGAGGCATTTAGGTTTCCTTCTCTTATATGTTACCATAGAAGAAGCGTTGAGGTTTTTGGGACTTCTCCTCTTGTACGTTAATACATAGCGATCAGGAGTGCTCCTTTTCCTATACTTGAAATAAAAAGGATCAAGCTTTGCATTGCACCTTTGCTTCTTTGGCGTGGTAATACAAACACTTTCCTCTTGCTCTTGTTTACAGAAAGCTGGAGACTCCAAGTCATCACCATTGGAGCAGCTCCAATCTCCTTCCTTCAACGGCTCATCATCATCATCATCCCCACTCTCTTCTTCAATATCAAGCGCTCTTGGTTCCAGCTTCAAACACCCAATGTCCGTTGATGAATCACAAAAGCACACACTCAAATTCGGCGAACACAACTTCTCAGCAGAGGCGTCCATGGCATCCAACTGCCCATCATCAACATCAACAGCAGCATCCTCATCCCTCCTGTTTGAGCCCTCTTCGCTACCAAAGGCATCATCAATTTCCCTGTCATCCACCATGGCCAAAACCCTAGATTTCCCCAATCCCAAACCAACTCTTCTCTTTCCAGTTCTTCGAGACTTGCTACTGCTCACAACCCTTTTCCACTTGACCAGCGACTCCGGAATCCAGCAATCGGCGCAGACGGAAAACTCCATGGCCGAACAAGAATCGGACAAGAGCGCAACGCTCCGGTACTCGGAATCGCAATGCCTGTGGACTTTCCGGTGACACTGGCGGCAAGAGAAAGATTCTTGGGACGACGAAGTGGAGTAGCAATAGGAGCAGAGCTCCGAGGACTCGACGCGAGAGAAGCATTTCTTGCAGAGAAGGACAATGCGCCACTCGCTGTACAGGACGTGAAGCTTGCTCTTGGCATTGGCGTTGGCAATGTCGACTCTCAGGTGGCACGAATGGCATTCCGAGAGATTGGGCAACTCTCTCGTTTTCTTCGCTGCTTGTGCTTGGGCTTCTTCATTGCTCTTCATTTGAATCATTGGCAGCGACGAAGCATTTGGGGTTTCAATTCTGGAAAATAGGGCCCCTATTTACTGTAGTTACCGCGAAACGATGCCGTCAAAGGGAAATGAAATGAATAATAAAATGTGGAAGTCACTCCATGAAAAACGAATCTTTGAAAATTGGACAAATTTCATAAAACATCATAAACTATAAGGTTATTTTTAAGTTCATATTTAATTTTAGAGATATTTACGAGTACATATTCAAACTCTCGAAAACTCCACAATTTATTCTCTCTGTTAGCTAAACAGTTATTTAATCTGTTAAATGCTGATGTGACATTTGTATAACCTATTTTTTAATGACATGGACTTCCATGTAGACCAAAAAAAAAATCTTTATTTAAAAAAAAATTAAAATCATTAAAATTTAAAAATCAAAAAGAAAAAAAATATCTCCATCACTCTCCTCCCAACTAGGGGTGGCAATTTCGGACACGACCTACTACACGACTCGAAACCCGCATGAGAAATTAGCGGATTCAACCCGCACGATAAAAAAAAGGTCAATTTCGGGTCAACTCGTTCTGACCCGTTTAATAAACGGGTGGATTTCAGGTCAACCCACTAACCCACTATAATACCTATCTAACCCGTTTATTAAACGGGTCGTGTCAACCCGTGTACAACCCGCTAACCCGTTAAAAAATAAAAACAAATGGAGACTTCAACACACACACGAGGGGTTTCGAATCCATACCACCCTCATTTCTCTCAAACATCTTATCCACCATACTACAAAAAACTTTGTGATTTTATGGTATGCATTTTGATATTTATAATGTTTTATTTATTTATTTTATTTTATGTTTTCCTTTCTTTTCCGTCTCTCTTCTCCTTTTTTTTTTTTCTTTTCCTTCTTTCTTCTTTCTCCCCTCTTTTTTTTTCTCTCTTTTCCTTTCCTCTTCTCTCCTTTGTTTTTCTTTTTTCTTTTCCTTCTCTTTAGTTTGTAAGAATATTTTATAAATATTCTGTGTGGCCCACATGAAGTGACCTATGTGATAAATAAATTGTTTAATTGGTTTAATAAATATTATTCAGAATAATTATATTGGTCAAATAAAGAGAAGTAGTTTCCTATTTTATTGCCGTGATGGGTGGTAATTGATTATGGGCTTCACTAGGAAACGGGTCCTCTCTCTGCCTATAATAGTGCACATACCCATCTTATGTGTACACTGATGAAGACAAGTATTAGGGTTTTCTAAACATGCAAAAGGCTAGAGAGAGAAATCTATTTCCTCCACACTAGTGGCTCACCTACGGATCGCTCAAGACAAATATCTTGATATGGTAGAAGACTAATCATTCAAGGTATGTATGTAATTTAAGTCTAATTGAATTTCCACCTAATGCTATTGTGAAAATCATGAAGTTCAAGATATTGGGTCATGGATTGGGTTCTTATGGTTTTACCCAATATTAAATTTACATGTGGTATCATAGCATGGTTATGAACTTTCATGATTTTCCATTATGATTTTGGTTGGTTTTGATTTATTCAAATATGCATATTGGTGTGACGTTACTGTTTGGTACTATGAAAGTTGAGTTTGAATTTCATGATAATATATCTTCATTTTGATATTGTCATGGGTGATTAGTTTGCTGATTCGATGAATTAGTGTCAAGAAATTATGCATATACGTAGGTTTAATTTCTGTGAAAGTGCCAACATATAGAATAATTATTAGATATATGAATTCAATTTCATGTATCGATCCATGTGATATTAGTATGTAATTTGAATGATTCTAATATTTGAGCTCTTTGATATGTATGGACTGTGTATATTTTAGTGGTCTGGATGAATTGGCTATCAGACCAGTACATATAGAATGGAGTACTGTTTCTTTATGCAATACTAGTTTTGGGAAAATTGCATAATATTTACACCAAATTAAGAATTGCAATTATATAAAATGAAGTTTGTAATAGGATGATGTATTAAATGTATGACCACTTATGAACTCATGGAATGATCCTGGTGTAGACATGTACAGTGAATTAAAGTTATTTAAAACAAATAAATGTAAGCATATTGTATTTCATTGTCACTGTACATTGTCTTATAAAGCGAGGCAATCTAGAGGTCTATTGCCCACTACTGTGTTAAAAGGTCATATATTTATCAGTTAATCTAATGATCGGTTAACCATTACAGTGTATTAATTGATCCTATGTAATCTATTAACTATTACAGCTGTTAATTTAATTTGACATTCATATTATCAATAGTTTGTTAGTCACCAAAGTGGCCAAGCTAAAACGTTGCTTGAATATCAAATTAATTAATCTAATGATGAATTAATCATTAAAGTGTATTAGTTAATCTGATGCAGGAGCATCTATTAGATTTTCCTAATCTAAGTGGGCATCAGCCAATAAGGCTAAGTTTTAGTTATATTAAATTAATAGGTTATTTTATTACTTGTTTTCCTATTCTTACTAGGATTTGGTTTATTTTCCTGTTTAGGTTTTAATTTCCTTTGTCAATTAGGATTTCTTATTAAACTAGGAATAGGAATTCTAGGCTGGTGTATTCTAGTATAAATAGGCTATTTAAAGACTCTTGTATTTAGTTTTGTTGATGAATATAATTTCAGACGTTAGTCTATAGAGTTTCTGTTGGGATTTTGCCCTAGAACTCAATTATCTTCGTTCCAACTTCGATTCTACTGCTTTATCCTTCTATTCTCTGTATTTTGGGTATGTTTGGGTCGCTGGACAGCAGCTTATAGCCGCTGCCCTGCATCAAATTGGTATTAGAGCCTAGGTTAATCCTTGCTCCACACCATGGTTGGACGTGCTAGAGGTCGTGGACGAGGGAACCAAGCCCAACACACGGAGATGGCTGAGATGCGGCGTATGATGGAAGACTTGTCGAGAGCGGTGCAAGCCCTCCAACGACAGGAACGCGCGGATGCCTATATGGAGATTCCGGAACGCAACCGCGGACCCTTACACATACCGGAAGGTGGTGGTGAGGATGAATATGAAGACGAAACGGACGTCGACAACCTTTTCCATGAAGCTGGAAACCATGGTGGTGGTCATCGAGGTGGATTGGAAGAGCGGTTGGTTCGTGCGTTGGATTTGAATGGTGGAGGAATTAAAATTGAAGTTGTTGATTTCTATGGAAAGATGCATGTTGAAGATTATTTGGATTGGGAGGCAAGTCTAGAGAATTATTTTGAATGGAAGCCTATGGCAGAAGATCGCAAGGTGTTGTTTGTAAAGCTTAAATTGAAGAGTACCGCGCTTCAATGGTGGAAGAGAGTTGAAGAGCAGCGTGCTCGGCAGGGGAAGCAGAAGATCAACACATGGGATCGTATGAAATCCAAGTTACGAAAGCAGTTTTTACCTGTTGATTATACCATGGAGTTATATGAGCAGTTTCATAACTTAAAGCAACGAGACATGTCTGTTGAAGAATATACATCAGAGTTTAATAATCTCTCAATTCGAGTTGGTTTGAATGAGACTAATGAACAGATGACATCTCGTTATCTTTCTGGTTTGAATCAGACAATTCGAGATAAGATGGGGGTGGTTCGTTTGTTCAACCTTGAAGATGCTAGACAATATGCTTTAATGGCAGAGCGAAGACTATCGCGTCGTGGTGGAAAGAGAGCAGTTTCCAGCCACCCAGACACGGGTTCGCAAAGCGATGAAGAAGCCAATCCAAGTACCCGAATAGGTGGTAGGAACTCGAGTGCTAATAAGAGTGAAAAGGGGAAGGAAACAACACAATTTCATCCTCCAAACGACGCTAATGTCAAGAATTCCAAGGCTGGAAGTACTTCACAAGCTCGATGTTTCAATTGCGGAGAGGCGGGGCATAAATCTTACGCTTGTCCACAAAGAAGAATAAATTTGGTAGGTGATAAGATCAACTTTCCAGAGCCATCGTATGATGTTTATGGCAACGAAGAGGAAGTTATTGATCTCTTACCAGTTGAAGGAGAATGTTTGTTGGTAAGACGAGTGATCACAACTCCCAAAGTTGAGGAAGAGGATTGGCGTCGACATAATATATTCCGAACACGAGTCCTTTGTGAGGAAAAGGTGTGCAACGTGATTTTTGATGGAGGAAGTAGTGAAAACATTATTTCAAAGGAGGCGGTAGAAAAATTGAAGTTACCAATTGAGAAGCATCCTAATCCCTACAAGGTTGCATGGTTTCGAAAGGGAAGCGAAGTACCAATCACTTCAAGGTGTTTGGTTAAATTTACTATTGGTAATACCATTGAGGATGAAGCTTGGTGTGATGTTGTTCCCACAGACGCATGTCATATCTTATTGGGAAGACCATGGTTGTTTGACAAAGACATGATGCATTCTACTAAAGCTAACACATATTCATTCTATAAGGATGGGAGAAAGTGGACTTTGCAGTCGCTTGAAGAAGGATTCTGCCATGAGTTTGACATTGAGAGCAAGAAGGTGGCGTCTGTGTATCCACTTGTTACTAAGAAGGATGTTGAGGGGGCTTCAAATAAATTAGAAGATGACAATACCCTAAATTTAGAAGACCCTCCCGTGTTTGACTGTTGTTTGGAAGAAGATTGTGAAGTTTGTTTGGGAATTGAGAAAGCTTCTGACTAGGTATTTGGTGAGAGTAAACAAGCTGAATCTAGTGTAATCTTGAAGGCAGTGAATCAAGAAGAAGCTGGGTTTGTACTTTTGAAGCAACACAATCAACCCACATTTGAAGGAAAGGTAATTCAAGAAATTCTTGGGGGAATTGTTGGAGATGAGCTGAATTCCTTCAAAGTTGATACTTATGAGTATGCTGATTTTCTTGGGGTGGATTCTTTTAATTTTCAAACTACCAAGAACGTCATTGACCTTGTTAGACTACTGGTTTTTAGCGTGAAGAGTTTTTGGGCTGAGAGTTTGGCTGCAGAAGATATCTGGTACTGTTCCAGAAGGATCAAATATTCTAAATATCTATTTCTTTGGTGTGGGAAGGT